TAATCGAATTTGTTAGAGAAACACAAGATTATAATTATGTTTGAAGAACTTCATGTAATTACAATTAACATACATTCATTGACTGCCACATCACTCTCCCTTTTCATTGTTGACAACAGATCTGCAAAAGCGATAAAAACTTTGTATAGACGCATAGAATCATATTAATTTCAAATGTCATGACAGTTTTCTATTCTGTTTCCTAAAGTGTTGCCACATCACTCCCCCTTTTTTAGTGTTGACGCCAAAAATATTTGAAGGTGACCGGAACTTTGTAAAAATTTATAAAATTGTATTAAGATCTCATCAATTACAAAAGATCTTTATAATCGATTAATTTGTTTTATCTCGTGTTGCCACATCACTCCCCTCTCGGTATTGACAAACTATTGGAAAATAAGCAATGGAAAATCAAAGAAAACATTCAAGACAATTTGTTTTTTATTACATTATTTGCAAAATTTATCATACTATTTTTTTTGTCAAAAGTAAAATAAACAAAAAAGTAATAAAACTCAATACTATATTAAATAATTAAAAGTTTGTGAAGAAAACATATTCAAAAAACTTATTATTATAAGAAATAAATGAAAAAAATCAATTTTTAAAGATAATCCAGATTTTAAAATTAAAGATAATGAAATTTTTTTGCCTGGCACAAATGTACAAATATCTTCACAAACAAATTGGACTGTGTATTTAAATTATATATTTTATATAATTCCATTAATTAAAATTATATAAACTAATTATGTATTTACAATATCGAAAATCTGTTATTCAATTTCCGCAAAGCCTATGATACAAAATCCTTTGAAATTTTCACTCATTTGTCTGTTTGTGGTTTAATCAGTAGAAAAGCCTTTTATAAATCATAATGAATATGAATTTAATCATGTCAAATCAGAAATAATTAATATATACATTCAAATAATAAACAAATTGTAATTAAATTATTGGCAGTAAAATATTTCGTGTAAAATATAGTACCGAGAACAATTTTGCAAGAACAATTTGTATTTTCAGAGTAACGAAGTTGCTGTAGGGTTATAAAACATTAGGCAATATCGTAGATAATTTAAATTTGAACAAATTTATCAAATATTTCATTTAAAACCGACAAACCGTTGAGGAGTTACAAGACTTTTAATAAATTATGATGGGTCGAATTAAGGGTCGAAACGTTTTACGTAAAATATGTCGTGTGGGGTATCATTTAAAAGGTCTCGACGACCTCTTTATGAATATAGTACCGAGAACAATTTTACTAGAACAATTTCTATTTTCAGAGTATACGGAGTTGCTGTAGGGTTATATAACATTAGGCAATATTGTTGACGATTTGATTTTGAACAAATTTGTCGAATATTGCATTTAAATCAGACGATCCGTTGAGAAGTTACAACACTTTTATTAAATCATGATGGGTCGAATGAAGGGTCGAAACGTTTCACATAAAATATTTTGTGTGGGGTATCATTTGAAAGGTCTCGACGACCTCTTTACGAATATAGTACCGAGAACAATTTTACTAGAACAATTTCGATTTTCAGAGTATACCACGTTGCTGTACCGAGATATAATATTAGACAATGTTATTGATAATTTAATTTTGAACAAATTTGTCAAATATTGCATTCAAATCCGACGAGCCGTCAGGAGTTATAAGACTTTAATAAATAATATGATGGGTCAAATGAAGGGTCGAAACGTTGCACGCAAAATATGTCGTGTGGGGTATCATTTGAAAGGTCTCGATGACTTCTTTATGAATCTAGTACCGAACAATTTTACAAAAACAATTTCTATTTTCAGAGTGTACGGAGTTGCTGTAGGGTTATATAACATTAGGCAATATTGTTGATAATTTAATTTTGAACAAATTTGTCGAATATTGCATTTGAATCAGACGAGCCGTTCAGGAGTTACAAGACTTTCAATAAATGCATTAGTACGATGATGGGTCAAATAAAGGGTCGAAACGTTTTGCGTAAAATATGTCGCGTGAAGTATCGTTTAAAAGGTCTCGGCGATCTCTTTATAAATACAGTACCGAAAACAATTTTACAAGAACAATTTCTATTTTTAGAGTATACCGCGTTGCTGTAAGGTAATATAACATTAGGCAATTATGTTGATATTTTAATTTTGAACAAATTTGTCGAATATTTCATTCAAATCCGATGAGCTCGTTCATGAGTTACAAGACTTTCAATAAATGCACCAGTACGATGATGGGTGGGATGAAGGGTCGAAACGTTTTACGTAAAATATGTCGTGCGGGGTATCATTTGAAAGGTCTCGACGAGCTCTATACGAATATAGTACCGAAAACCAGTTTACTAAAACAATTTCGTCATATTGGTTTTAGACTAGTTTATTATGTAATTTTTGTATAAAAATTAGTAATCATGTCACTACCTGTATGACTTCTATAATAAAAATACCGGATTATCAGAATGCCGGATTATTGAATCTATGGTCTATCAAAATTTCGGATTATTGGAATTTAGTTTAAAAAAATTTAGGTTATTTTTATATGTGAATTTTTTTCATTAGTTGCATAGACGAGATATGAATAAGTTTTTTCTTTTCTTACTTTTATTGAACTTTATATTATATATTTTATATTGTATCGTTTCTACGAAAAAAAATACTAAAAGCTTTATTATCTAATATTGTTTAATTTAATACAAATTACTAAACAAACAACCCTTATTCAGCCATTAGTGCAACTAATGCTGTTTGTTTATACATTATTCCACAATTATGCAACAATTCACTAATTGATGCAAATAATGCATTTTGCAGACGACTGCAATTTAATATAATTTCCCAGAAATGCATAAATAAATTGAATTATATAATATAACTAGCTGTTTTAAATAAAACTTTCCACAAATATGCATATGTTTTAAATCTTCCTAAACTATCTATATGGCTATCTGTCTACCTATCTACCAATTTACCTAACTGAAATTATATAAATTATATTTATCATGCTATTAAATTCAATTGAAAATAATCTGTTCAAACCATTTGACTTTTGACGTATGAGTCGCAGGCAGTTGTTTCATTTTAAATTACGCTTGGTAGACACAAGAATAAAACAGGATTGTCTCATTCAAGTTTTAATTAATTTCTTAGTAAAATATTTGTCTCTAATTTTTATTATTTTTCCAGGCACAAAGAGCTTTTGGAATGTCTCCAGAAAAACATTACAGATTGCTAAATGTTGCATCTGAAGAAAAACCACCAATTGTTGTCTTAAGTGTAGTTGTCTTGGAAGCTGATGGACTCGAAGCCAAAGATGCAAATGGTAAGAATCTTTAAAATATAATGTATAAAAAAATCATAATTTCATAAATAATGTATATATATATATATATATATATATATATGTGTGCGTGTGTGTGTGTGTTTACGATCACAGATATCAAATTATTTTTTAAAAATTATTTACAAAATTGACTAATGTAAATTGATTCGTTAAATGTTATGAAATTTTTTTCGAGAACGTTTGTTTTACTACTAAAATGCTTGGCAAACAATTGTGTTTATATCTGAATTTTTTTTCCAAATTGAAGACATGAACTTGATCTATTTTTCATAATGTGTAATATTTTTTACAGTTTTGGTAATGTCCAACAATCTTTTAAACTAGTTACTACAATTAGATTATATTTATCTAAAACATTCTATTAAATTTAATTGAACATAATTTGTCCAAACCATTTGATATTTGACGTATGAGTCGCCAGGTAATATTCTAAATTATTGTTTTATTGTTTCTTAATTATTATATTATTATTGTTTTATTCAAAATTACGCTTCTATAAAAAAATTGAATTAAAAATGTAAAGTTTTAACGTGATTTTAAAATATTTTTTTACTTTTCTCACAACCTCTTGATTAGCACGAAATCTATATTTCAAGTCCGGTAGTATGTTCGCGCCAAAATCAAAGCATGCCGTATATTGATACAGAAACAAAAGAGATCTAATATAAAATCATAACAAATTTGAATCAATCAATACAATAAATGAAAATTTTTGAAATATTGAAAATTAAATCGGGCCAAATCGGTTCAGCGGTTTAAGAGCCTTAGCATACCTAACATAATATCGAGCTTCATTAGAAGTAAATAATATATAAGTACTAGAAATAAAAATACTTACTACAACTGAATAATATTTATCTCAAACATTCTATTAAATTTAATTGAACATAATTTGACGAAACGTTGTTTCATTTTCAATTAAGCTTCTGCAAAAATTTTAGAATAAAATGTAAAGTTTTTACTCGGTTCTAAACTACTTTCTCACCTTACCCACAACCTCTCAACCTTATAAAGTAATTTCTCACCTTTCCCCAAATTCTGGATTAGCACACATAATTCAAGACCAAAACTAGCCAAATCGGTTCAGCCGTTTTTGAGTTTTAGCATACCTAACATAATATCGAACTCTAGTTTAATATATAAGACGTAAATATAAATTAAACTATACTACAATCAAACAATATTTATCTAAAACATCTTATTAAATTTACTTGAACACCATCTATTAAAACCATTTGACATTTGACGTATGAACCGCAGGCAATTGTTTCATTTTAAATAACGCTTCTACAAATATTTTTTTATTAAAAAGATGAAGTTTCTACGCGGTTTTAAAATAACTTCTCACCTTTCCCTCAACCTCTTGATTAGCACGAAATCTATATTTCAAGTCCGGTAGTATGTTCACGCCAAAATCAAAACTTGCCATATATTGATATAGTAACAAAATGGATCTAATAAAAAAAATTATAACAAACTTGAATCAATCAATACAATAAATTTAAAATTTTGGAAATATTGAAAATTAAATCTGGCCAAATCGGTTCAGCCGTTTCGAATTGTAGCATACCTAACATAATATCGAGCTTCATTGTAAGACATAAATATATATATGATAATTATATTAGAAATGAAACTACTTACTACAATTAAATAATATTCATCTAAAGAATCCTATTAAATTTAATTGAACATAATATGTTCAAACCATTTGACAGTTGACGTATGAGCCGCATGCAATTGTTTCATTTTAAATTAGCCTTCTACAAAAATTTTAGATTAGAAATGTAAAGTTTCTACGCTGTTTTAAAATGATGTCTCATCTTTCCCCAAACTAAGGATTAGCACGAATATTTCAAGACTAAAAGTGGCCAAATCGGTTTAGTCATTTTTGAGATTCGAGTTTTAGTATACCTAACATAATATCGAGCTCCATTTTCTCTCCCAACATATAAAAAAAATAGAAATTTATTAACTATAAAAATATTACTGATATGAAAAAATATAAATGACAATTCCAATTGTTTTTTCACTGTCCATGACTAGCCTGCTTGATTTCCCCACAATATAAAAGAATATAAGAAAAAATAAATTGTTTAAACTAGAAAAAGATTGATTTGAAAAAAAAAAAAAAATTATTCTTATTAATTAATTAATGTTAATTTGTATATTATTATTTTGGTTACATTACTTAGTGTAAATTTGTGAATTGAATGATGTTAATAACTAAATTTGCAAGATAAATTTTATTTATCTAAGTTTCTACGTGTTGTTGAAATAATTTCTCACATTTTCCACAACTTCTAGATTAGCACAAATATTTCAATATTAAAAGTGGCCAAATCGGTTCAGCCGTTTTTTAGCCTTAGCATACCTAACATAAAACCGAGCTCCATTTTTTATATATAAGGCCATAAATATATAATTATAATAGAAATAAAACTAAATTTAACATATTTATCTGAATCCTATTATATTATATT